GAATGATGAGAGACATGGCTCTCAAAATCAGCATTTTAATATAAATATTATATTTATATATATATATATATATATATATATATATATATCAGCTTTTTTCGCAAATATAAAATTAATTTTAAATTAAATTTAGTATTGGAGTCTTATAATTATAAAAAATGCAATATGTAATACGTTCTGTTTCATTTTCATTTATTTTTGCATTTTCCATAAATTTACGTTCATTCCTATGTTTGATTATAATTGTTAAAAATTATTTAAAATTTATTATTATATTCTATGTTTTTGTATTTTAATTTTGTACTAATGTATGAAAAGCCTTCAATTTTAATTTCATTTTAATATTTTTTCAACAAATTAAGATTTATCTCAAAAAGGCTTGGCAGAATCATGTTTTATACAATTATATATTAAAATGTTAACAACTATAGCATCAATAACATAATGATATTTGTTCATTAATTTTCCAAAAATTATGTGTAATTTTTGTGTTATATTTTATAGTAAGTGCTGAACAATGGCATACATATAGCGTCGAAACGTACAGAGTAAAGTTAATAATTGTTAAAAATTATTCAAAACAGTTTATATTAATTAATTTATTAACAATAATGATTGTTTTAGTTTTAATTAAAAAAATATATTGTATATTATTTTTGTATTTATTTTAATTTCATACTAATGTATGAAAAAGATTCAATTTTAATATTTAAATGTTAAAAACTCGCACCAATAAAATAATGATATTCAAAAGTGTGTAAGTGATGGCACACATATAGCATCGAAACGTGCAGAATGAAACCAATTTTATTATTTTTTGTTTTTACTTAGAATGAAGTGCTAATTGATGACACGTATTTAGAATCGAAACGTTCAGAACAATTATTTTTCGTGCATTATTATTCGAAAATTTGTGAATGATGGAACACATACAGCGTCGAAACGTACAGAAAAAATAGCGTTTATACATATAATATTATATTAAAATGTGTTGTTTGAAATAAAAATTTAGAATAATTATTGTTGGTGCATACAGTATTCAATCGCAAGTGTGTGAAACAAATTTTATTACTTTTGTATAGAATGAAGAACAAGTTGATGGCACGCATTTAGGATCGAAACTTTCAGAATAATTATTTTTCGAAACTAATTTTACACTTTGTGTTTTTCTTGGAACGAACTGCAAGATGATGACACGCATTTAGAATCGAAATGTTCAGAAAAACTATTTTTTATGCATACAGTATTCCAGAGTCTGTGAATGATGACACACATATAGCGTCGAAACGTACAGAATGAAGCAAAATTTATTAGTTTTTGTATAGAATGAAGGGCAAATTGATGGCACAAACGTACAGAATGAAACAATTTTTTTTGATCCTTGTATTTTTTTTAGAATGTAGTGCAAATTGATGACGCTAATTCAGGATCGAAACGTTTACAATAATAATGTTTATGCATATAGTGCTCATTAGGATTGAATAAACAAATTAAAGGCTTGCTAAAATCAAAAATAAAAAAACTATGTTAGTGTGGAACCTTATAATTGATACTATGAAAATATAAGCTAGAAATAAGTAACGCCTTGCAGAATCTTGTTTTATACAACTATATATTAAAATGTTAAAAACTAGCACTAATAAAATTTATTTAAACAATTATTTGTTTGAGAAATAATTAAAAAAATTATGAGGAGCCTTATAATAGCTTAATAATAAAAATATAAGCTAAAAATGAGCAAAGTAACTTACTTAAAATAAAAACTGTTGTGGAATCTTACAACTGCTTATGAATATAAAATTATAAGCAAAAAATAAGCATTTTTCTTCAAAAAATAATTTTAAAATAAATAAATATATATAAAAACAAAGCTTTAACTCAGAGACGTTTTGCAGAATCCTGTTACATACAACTGTAAATTATAAAGAATAAAAGTAGCATTAATAAAAGAAATGATGCTTGAATGATTAATAAAATGAATGATACCTGAATGATTAATAAAATAAATTAATTGTGCTTGTTTTTAGCGAAATACTGATTATATAGCAAAAACAAAAGCAATACGTTTTGAGTACCCATTTGATTCATCTTCAGTACATAATAATTACTAATAATTTAGGCAACACAAAATAAGCACACTTACTTCAAAAAATAATTTGACGATAAAAAAATAGATATAAAAACAAAGATTTATATTATATTTAGGAAAAAACACACTTTACTAACAAAAGTTTGTTTTTTCCTGATCTGGTGTGTATAATTTGTTGTTTTTTTCAATTAATTTTTCCAATGTATAAATTCATTTTTTTAAAAGCTTTTTCTTTATAATGTAATTTTCTTTTAGCTGAATGATGAGACACATCTAGTCACGAAACGTATAAAAAATTAAAATAAATTTTCTACATTCGACGCATTGGCTGTTTTATTCTATATATATATATATATATATATATATATATATATATATATATATATATAATATAAACAAAAGCTTTAACTCAGAGACGTTTTGCAGAATCCTGTTACATACAACTGTAAATAATAAAGAACAAAACTAGAATTAATAAAAAATGATACTTGTTTTTTGCGAAATACTGGTAAAATATAGAATTTTGAATTCATAAGAAATACTCATAATTTAAGCAACACACAATAAGCACAATTACTCTAAAATTAGAAATTTATATGTGGAGTCTTATAATAATTCAATACTTGAATGCACAATGAATTACTTGAAATAAAACTTGTTAAGGAAGCTTACGAATATAAAATTCTAAGCTAAAAATAAGCATATTTACTTAAAAAAATAATAAAAAAAAATATAAGAGAAATATATATATATATAAATTTATCTTAGGGACGTTTTGCAGAATCCTGTTACATTCAACTGTAAATTATTAAGAATAAAACTAGCATTAATAAAAGAAATGAAACTTGTTCTTTGCATAATAGGAAAATTATGCTAGAAATGAGTACAATAACTTACTTAAAATACAAACTGTTAAGGAAGCTTATAATTGCATAATAATATAAAATTAAGCTAGAAATGAGGACATTTACCTTGAAAAAATAATTTATATAGAAAAATTTATATAAAAACAAAACTTTCCCATTATCTTTCATAAAATAAAAGATCATTATTTTCCATAAAAACAAAACTTTCTCATTCGTTTTCGGTATTCATTTGAATAATCTTCAGTGCATAATAATTTAGGCAATACAAAATAAGCACATTTACTTCAAAAAATAATTTTAAAAAATATTATAATGTAAAAACAATTTATATCAGGGACGTTTTGCAGAATCCTGTTACATACAACTGTATATTATAAAGAAAAATTAGAATTAATAAAAAAATGTTACTTATCTATTTGAATAATCTTCAGTGCATAATAATAACGAATATTTTATTTAATTATTATATTCAAACAATTGAATTGGAGTAAAGTAGTACATAGTAAACTAATTGTAAGTACTATTTACTATTTTGTTCTTTCTTTTCACTCCAATTCAATTACTTTAGGTTTAATTTTATTTTTAGTTTCCACTGAATGAAGGCTAGGATTATAGCCGAAACGTATGGATTTAAAATAAATTTTTGAAAGAAAATCATGTTTTTTATTGATGTTATGCCCGACTACTAGACTTTGTTAATGTATATATATATATATATATATATATATATATATATGTATGTATATATATATATATATATATATATATATAAACAAAAGCTTTTACTCAGAGACGTTTTGCAGAATCCTGTTACATACAACTGTGAATTATAAAGAACAAAACTAGTATTAATAAAAGAAATGATACTTGTTTTTACGAAGTACTGATTACATAGTAAAAACAAATGCCATACGTTTTGGGTACTCATTTGAATCATCTTCAGGACATAAAAATTACTAATAATTTCAGCAATACAAAAAATACACAAAGCTAAAAGAAACACAATTATTTGTTTGATAAATAATTTAAAAAAATTGTATATGAGGAGCCTTATAATAGCTTAATAATAAAAAACTTGAGTTAAAAATGAGCACAATTGTTCATTTGAAACAAAACATAATGTGGAGTCTTATAATTGCATAAAAATATAAAATTAAGCTAGAAATAAGCATATTTACTTAAAAAAATAATTAAAAAAAATTTAATAATGTAAAAACAATTTATATCAAGGACGTTTTGCAGAATCTTAGAGTTTCAAAAAATGCAATATGTAATAAATTACAAATGTAATATTTATAAGAAAAAAATTCTCATTTATTCAATTTTTATTTCATTTTGCATTTTCCATAAATTCACTTTTTGTTAAAAATTATTTAAAACAGTTTATATTAATTATTATAGTAATAACGAAGACTAACTAAAACGGTTTGAATTAGAAAAATATATTGTTATTATATTTTAATTTTGTACTAATGTATGAAAAGCATTCAATTTTAATTTCATTTTAATATTTTTTCAACAAATTAAGATTTATCTCAGGGACGCTTTGCAGAATCCTGTTTTATACAACTATATATTATAATGCATTAATAGAAGAAATGATACGTGTTTGTTTCAAAAATCAAGATGCCATACGTTTTGGGTACCCATTTGAATCATCTTCAGCGCATAATAATAACAAATTATTTAAGCAACACATAATAAGCACATTCACTTGAAAAAATAATTTAAAAAATATAACAATGTAAAAACAATTTATTTCAGGGACGTTTTGCAGAATCCTGTTACATAATGTTAATTATTTAAGCAACACAAAATAAGCACAATTACTCTAAAATTAGAAATTTGTACGTACAGCCTTATATTAATTCAATACTTACCTAAAACAGTTAATAATCCACTTATCCTACACTTCACAAAATTAAGCACCACTAAACATACTCCTCCACCATAATACCAAAATTTAATCCTTTACACTTTTACTTAAAAACAACGAAACAACCAACTTTTCCCTTTTCCTTCTAAAACAACGCCATCATACATACTCCGGGCAGCATCACGGAGACTCCGGGCAACACCGTCGTCATCATTGCTCCGGATCCTATCTCATACGCCGCCATCCATGCTCATCGAACGTTTCGAAACGAATGATTAACAGAGTAATATGTGAATCTATTATTCGTCTATTTCGACTGATAATTTTGTCTAATAATGTTCTATGAGATAGTCAGTAGTACGCCCAGAGGGTAGGTTTATGATATTTCGTTTACGGTGGAGACGTCGGCGGAGTTGCGCGCGTCGGAAAACAGGGGCGGCGCGGTGGAGGGTCGCGGTGGATGGTTTATCTCGAGATCGCGGTGCGCATGCTGGGTAGGACTGGGACAGTGGCGTAGGGGAAAACAGATATATGAGGAAATTATTTTATGAGAAAGTTTTTGGGTGAGTTTTGTTTGTTTTGCACTGAAGAGGGTCAAATGAGGTGCCAAAACGTATGTAAGACTTACTTTTTGCAGAAAACTGAGTATCATTTCTCTTGTTAATGCTATTCTTTAACGTATTATATAGTTGTATGAAACACGATTCTGCAAAGCGTCTACAATTTTGAAGTAAAACTTCTTCAAGCGCGACTTGGGTGTAAATCCGTACAAATGCAACGGAAGTGCGTTACGACAGATGAGATAAGAGTCGAGTGCCAATGATTCGTCATTCCCTCTCGATGATATCATTTCTATACGGGCCGATTGTGATTAGTCGTCGTGTATGTGAATAGAAATCTGTCGTTGTATGCGTACCGATATCAACAAGAAAATCGGCATAGATAAATAAACATTTTAAAGTTACATCATAGTACAAATCTTGATTTGAGGGGGTATTCTAGTGTAGAGCGATGAATTTTAGGTCATTTTTAAAGTGTCATAAAAGAAAGCAATGAATGTTTTTACTATCCATTTTTTTACCACTTGTTTATTATAATTATTAAAATACAAAACAAAAATTAAAAAATAAAAAAGTTGAAAATTGTAAAAACTGGCAAAAAAGTGGGTGGTCTCAAAAAATTGGCACCTCAGTCTTGACATGATTTCGACCCTCCTAGCCATCGGAAATGCAAAAAATAAAAAGATTATTAATCTACGATGATGTCGCGCTCGCCTAAACTAGCGATGAGTGAAATAATTTTTTTGTTACAAATTGGCGACTGTTTGAAAAAAAAGTGTTTTTTTACTGTTTTGTTTCTGAGTTTCTCGAATTTTTTAAAAATAGTAAAAATTGGAATTTGGGGATAAACCCTAGTTCGGGCTATAGATAGGTCTATAAACAAGACTCTCTGAACATTTCAAGTGAATCGGTCGATTAAAACTCGAGAAATCGTGTCAACAGTACTGAAAAAGAATGTTCTGAGAAAAACGCATTTAAAGTTTTGCGTGAAGGCAAACCAGTGTGAAGACCTAGTCAGTAAAATGCCTATATCTCCGAAAATAATTCAAATTTTTAAAAAACCTCCTCGTACCCATATTCTTAGATAGTTAAAGTTTGAAAATATGAAATAAAAAAAAACGATTTTTTTTTAATTTCTACAATAGAATACCCCCTTAATGAAAAATGCCCGAATCAGAAGAATATTTTACTCTCCTTGTAATTAATAAAACAAATTAAACATTTGGGCCGTATATAAAACGTAAGTTTATTGAATAGAAATTATTTCTATATTATTTGTAGTTTCTATAAATCTTTGAAGTTATTATAAAGGAAAATATTTTTTAGGCAAAACAGTTATTACAGTTGTTCAAAGAATGAGATTATATCGCTAGCGAAAAAGTAAAAAAGATACAAGCAGTCCATGAATGTATGTTAATTTTAATTACATGAAGTTCTTCAAACACAATTATTACATGATGAGTGAAGTTGCGAAAACGTTTAACATAATCCACTGTGCGAACGAATATTATAGAATTTATTAATCAGCAATTACTTCATTTCTGTAATGAAGATGTTTCAGTCCTAAATGCTAATTACAATGACAAACCGATCATCTTATATTTGAAGTATGACTTTAATTACACTATTGTTTTTAAATATTATAAATATTTTTAATGCTATTATAAATATATAATTTATAATTTATCATTATATAAATGTGTATAATAATTGACGACACTAATAAATGTGTGCATCACGAGTGTTACCATATTACTAATAAACATTATTCAAAATTGTTATATGATCTATTTATTTTCATTTAAATGCCATCTTGTACAGTATCAAATAAGTTTTACTTCAATCGCATGTACGCGCATTCTTTTTTATTTTAGTCAATGAAATATTTCCTTTACCTACGCCACTGTGTTTTCCCCTATGCGTACGTACCACCATCACAGGAGTGTGTGATCTCACAGAGAGAGAGTTTTCACATTTCCAGCATTTCGTGTCTGTGTGTCTGAAAATCTAGGTGTGTTTTAACATTACACACTTATATACACATACACATTTATATATATGTATATGTATATATATATATATATATATATACGAGTATATATATATATATATATATATATATATATATATATATATATATATACAGATGAGTGTACCTACTCTCATAATGTTTAGAAGGAGAGCTCTCCATCCGAAAGGTAAATTCTTTTTTTAAAATATCTAGCGAACTAGGGGGTATCGCATTGTGACTTAAGGATAATTGCTGGAACTTCCTGATCCAATTTTGAAAATTTGAGGTAAAAACAATTAATAATCAATATTGAAGAATGATTGATAACAATTGTTTTAAATATTTTCAAATGGATAAATACATACTATATATTTTATTGCTTATATATTATATAACAACGATATTTTCGTGTAAAATACTGAAGAATGTTTACATTAACAAGAGATCCGAATGAATCCATCTGAGGATAAATTTTTACGATTAAAATAACGCTAAAAACTAAAAATAACATTTCATATGAAATATTTACATTTTTAAACTGAATTGTGAGTTTAAAATTTATATTGTAAGGATAAAACTATGTATATATTTGAAAATTTGGAACAAAAAATTATGAAAATTTTGGAATTTGTATAAGTAAACTTTAAAAATTAAAAATCTTGGTACGGAATCCAAAAAAATGTAACAAAATTAGTACTCATTGTTAAAATCTCTATAAAATATCTGATAATTTGATGTGCATATGTCTAATGATCATTTTTGACCGCCAGATGGCATTTTTTTACTTTTTCCTCAGCATCTCCGAAACCGCTGGTCCTGTCCTTGGAAAAAATTTAATCAATTATTTATTTTGTCAATACACATAATTAAAATGTTTTTAGAATCAAACAAATCGGACGCTCCGTACTGTCAAAAACTCGATTTGTATTTTCTTTACTTTTTGCTTTGTATCTTCGAAACGGCTGGACCTGCTTTTGCCAAAAACGAATTAGCACGTCTCCTAATCAATAGGAACCAAATGTCTTTTGAATCATTCAAATCGGTTGATCCGTGTTCCCGAAATCGTCGACGAAACTTATACCAAATTTATATCCTTAGACATCGATTTTTTTAAAGTATGCCAAAATGTTCAGAAATCTTTCAAACGTATTTTTTTATTTTTAATTATTTTGCGATTAATGTAACTTACCCTAAGGCAACTTAAAAATTATTAATTCATTATATATTATGTCAATAGAATTATTAACTAAATTTTAGAGCAATCAATTAACAGTTGAATTAAACTGGATTCTGCAAAACGTCTTTCAGTTATATCTTTCTTTTATATATATATATATATATATATATATATATATATATATAGAGGACTAGAAAAATATTAATTTATCATTTATTATAATTCTGCATATGATTTTTTAGGTATTAAAACAGAATAGAATTATTAACTAAATTTTAAAACCATCAATTTACAGTTGAATGAAACAGGATTCTGCGAAACGACTCTCAGTTAAATCTTTCTTTTTATATCTTTTTTGAGTTTTTGAAAAATTATAATTTATCATTTATTATAGTTCTGTATAAGAATTTTTAGGTATTAAAACAGAATAAAATTATTAACTAAATTTTAGAGCAATCGATTTACAGTTGAATGAAACAGGATTCTGCAAAACGTCTTTAAGTTAAATCTGATTCTTTTTTTCGAGAAACTTGCTAGTAGATCAATTTACTCATTTAAATTGTTCAGAAATATATTATTTTATTATTTATTATAATATTGTATAAAATTTTTTAAGTATTAAAACAGAATAGAATTATTAACTAAATTTTAAAACAATCAATTAACAAGTTGAATGAAACAGGAATCTGCGAAACGTCCTTCAGTTAAATCTTTCGTTTCGGTATATATTTGCTGCTAGAAATTCCTTTCCAAATGTAATTGAAGTAATCAGGTATTAAGCTCTCTGTCTATAATAAAATTTTCGAGATATATATATATATATATATATATATATATATATATATAAATGTAGCAGCTATGTTTGGTCGAAGACCTCTACGTTTGTGAGGTCACGCTCGCATCATATATAAATATATACATATATATATATATATATATATATATATATATATATATATATATATATACTAGAAAAGGACCCTGTAATGTCTTATATGGTCTGTACAGGATTAATTTCTCTTGTTTTGTGGTTGTAGTACCTTTAATATAATTAAACAATATAGAAAAAAATATCGAACAATAGATTTTTTAATTGTATTGTATATTATTATATTGTATTTATTTATTATAATATTTATTTTATAATAGGGTAGGGCGGGGGCATAAAGGTCCACATTGACTTTGAGCAATTTGAGCCAGGAGGTCTCAAAATACCTACATTATGGTAAATATAAATTTTGAGTGCATTTTGTACACAGATAACACTGTATACAACCTTGATCTGGTATTTTGTCAAAAATATTCATCATCAGAGTTGAACTATTTATTTATTTTGTCTCTTATAAAATTGCTTTCTTTTGACTTTATTTTTTTTTTTGATATTTTTTAATTTTAGCATATCATATTGATATTTTATATTCGTCGGCGATTTTAAAGTATACCGAGTTGCTGAAGGGCATCAC